AATTATCTAATTGGAGCCTTTGATCTTTTTAAATTATCTAATTGGAGCCTTTGATCTTTTTAAATTATCTAATTGGAGCCTTTGATCTTTATTCAGGGTGGTTTACTCCGGTTTAACATTAAAGCTGTGATGTTTCACCTGGTTTAAAGGACCCATCTGGGTTCTGATCCGCCGGAGCTCAAGATCTTTGTCCTTCACTGACAGAAAGCTGATTAGTCCATCTAACTCATCCAGAATCGGTTCAGAGCTCGGTGGTGTGAACAGGTATTAGACTGAAGGTCTAAGGACTGAGGAACCAACAGACCAAGGAACCCTGCAGAACCGTCCCCCAATCAGACGCTGCCGCGGTATGTGTGTGTGACTGTGTGTGCGGTTGGAAGCTGCAGCCGGCGGATCTGCGGAGCGGCCGGCGGGTCTGCGGAGCGGCCGGCAGGTCTGCGGAGCGGCCGGCGGGTCTGCGGAGCGGCCAATGGGTCTGCAGCTGTAGATCAGTAGAAGGTCTGTCAGACTGGCTGCATTGAACCGCTGTACAGTAGAGAATCTGCACACTACCTATTTATAGAGCGGGCTGCCCTGCAGGTCTGCGGGGCTCCTGAGGAGGGCGCTGCGCGGCGCTTTACTTACTGTTGTACATAGAAGCACTAACGTTAAGATTGTGTTAGAGTTATGATGATTATTTTGTCACTTAATTGAAGCCAATTTGTAATAAATGCAGACGAAGGGATGCCATCCTTCCTGTTGCTATGGATACAGACGCAATATTTATGTTCCTGTTTTGACCACTAGGTGGGAATCGTTGCTGTAGAACTACAGAGATAGAAATGTTTCCCTGTGAGGTCTCCGCCGTGGGCGGGGCTTCTGCTTGTTAGTGCTGAGCCAGTATTAAAGCGTGGAGCGTCCGCCTTAAATGGACGTCACATGACCTCACTACGTTGGTGCCATGTTGTTTTTTTTTATTTTTCATGAAGCGACAGATTAATGGAGGAAAAGAGCCGTTGGAAATAGAAGCTGAGCTCTAATCTGGATTACAAGGTTTTCTAAATCAAAGCAATCTAAAAATTTAAACTAAAAACCTATTTTTGAATAAAAATTGGATATTTTTCTTTGACCGACTGCTGAACGAGTCAAACAGAGTTTAAAGTGAACTAATTCAGCTGAACATCATGTTACATAAAAATGATCAAATTTATCACAAATATTTTCAAGTTTATCATTTAAAGAATTTTGTAAATTTTCCTGAAACTAAAAAATGAAATAAATCCATATTTTTCCTTCAGGTGATTTTAAGATCAATAAAATAACATTTAAAAAAACTTTTAGGATCTGAAGTTTTTCAAAATAATGAATTTGAGGTAAAATTTCCCTAAAATGGTTTTAGAGGAGGAGGTGAGATGGACGGACGATCCGTCTTTCGCGTCTGGGACCAGTTGGTTTAGTTCTGTCCTCTCTGGGCCTCCGTAGAGGAACCCGCTACCACATCATGTTTTAAGTTTATGTTTTTTGCACAGTCTGAACAGGATAAAAGCCGTGATCTCTGCAGGGGGCGCTACCGTCTCTGTCATGTCTACCTCATTTGCACTGATAGAAGAAGAATGTCTGAGTGAATTTTAATGAGTTCTTTAAGGCTTTTCTTGGTTTTCATGTTTGTGCAAATGTTGACAAGGCGAGACAAAGGGACATTTCCTCAGTGAAAGGACTGGACATGTTGGACATGAAGGGAGTTCTGCTCTGGGAACGTTGGACCAGACCCTGCTGGCCTTCCATGGAGGAACGTTGGAACATGGAGGAACGTTGGACCCTGGAGGAACGTTGGACCCTGGAGGAACGTTGGACCCTGGAGGAACGTTGGACCCTGGAGGAACGTTGGACCAGACCCTTTTCTAACTGTGAGGTTTCATTTTGCCAACTTGTGCTGATCTTCCCGATGGTGGGCAACCTGCAGGTGTTTCCTCTCCTAAAGATGAAATCAGATTCTTTTTCACTCTAAATTTCATACAAACTAGTTTGTTTTTTCACTACTAGATGTCAGCCATCTTTGTTCCAACCTTTTCACGCCATTTTATTTATTTTATCTGTTTTGATATAAAGCAACGGGCCAATGTGTAGATGCAGTGTGACGGACTCATAATGACATCACTTCCTGTAAGCTGAGGTCGTTCTCTGAGCTGAATGAATCCATGTGAAATATTCAGAGCATGTTGGTTTTATACAGTAGAAACGTTTCCTGTTGAATCCGTTTCTTGGTCGCTGCCACAGACAGCCGTCCATCCAGCTGCTGTGATGTCAGAGGCCAGCAGGTGTCAAAGCCACGGCGGTGAGGATGAGAAGGGTGGGGATGGATGTTGATGTTCAGGTTTAATGGAGGAAAGTGTGCTGTACAGAAACATTAAATACTTTTGAGGAAATAAAAGAACAAACATGAAGTTGTTTTATTTTGACTCATTCATTGATCTAAAGGCCTTCAAAGAAAATGAGAGCAGAGAGTTGGTTAAACCGCTAACCAGCGGTTAGCTCCAGATCTAAAACCACACACTGTTGCTGCCGACCTTCAACCTTCTTAGCCGACCTTCAACCCTGCTGGCCGACCTTCAACCTTCTTAGCCGACCTTCAACCCTGCTGGCCGACCTTCAACCTTCTTAGCTGACCTTTAACCCTGTGTGCTGACCTTTAACCCTGTTGGCCGACCTTCAACCTTCTTAGCCGACCTTTAACCCTGTGTGCTGACCTTTAACCCTGTTGGCCGATAGCTGTTAACTGATGGTACCCCCATCCCCACTGACTGCCACTATGGGTCCCTGAGCCAGACCCTAAACCCCACCCTGCTCCCTGGGTGGCACAGCCCTCTGCTCCCCAAGGGGAGGGGTTACATGCTGGGAGGGAATTTCTCCAATAAAGTTTTATTATTATTATTATTAGTAATCTGCACAGAATAAAATGAATTACATTAAATTCTCTTATTTCAGTAAAATATTGCATCATGATTTATTGACAGGATTTTCAACAGTCTAAGAAAAGGACTGAGACGCTCTTATTGTGAAAGTTTGCACCGGAAGTAAAGAAATCAAAATTTTCAGAATCTGAATAACTACAAGAAATTACAAGCAAATGTAAGAAGAATTATTAAAAATGCAAAAAGAGATTATTGGAGGAGTTTCTGTAATTCAGTAGGGAGGGAGACAGATGTTTCTAAGGTGTGGGCAACAATTAAAATGATGAATGGGATTAAAAGAACGAGTGGATCCAATATTAAATGTAGAAAAAACTGCAGTTACTGACAGAGAAAAGGCAAAAATGTTGGTGAATACTTCTGTTAAAATTCATAGATCTGAAAATGTTAGTGAAGAAAAAAGGGAGAGAAAAGACTAATTTAAAGAACAAGGATTTATTACAGCAAATAGAAACAAATGAACAGTTGAACATGTTTACAATAACAACTGAATATAAATGATCAGCTCCAGGAAAAGATCCAATTTATTATGTTATGATTAGTAATTTAAGTGAATCTTCTAAAAATATTTTATTAGAAATGTATAATAGGATATGGGAAGATGGGGAACTGCCAAAGAGTTGGAGGGAAGCTGTGATTGTTCCAATCAGAAAACCAGGGAAAGATGAATCAAAACCAGGAAATTATCGGCCAATAGCGTTAAAATCCAACTCCTGTAGAATAATGGAGAGAAAGATAAATGAAAGATTAATATATTATGTTGAAAAGAAGGGACTCGTATCATCTTATCAGAGTGGTTTTAGAAGAGGGAGACGAACAATGGATCCGGTTTTATGTTTAGAGCAGGAAATTAGAAAGGAACAGGTGAATAAAGGAAGTGTTTTTTGACATTGAGAGAGCAACATCGAGAGAGCAGATGATATGATGTGGAGGGAAGGCTTATTAATTAAATTAGAAGAATGGGTATAAATGGTCAAATGTTTAGATGGATTAAAAATTTTCTAGAAGATCGACGAATACAAGTGAGGATAGGGAAGGATTATTCTGAGGGTTGGAAAATTGGAAATGGGACACCACAGGGAGGTGTAGTTAGTCCGTTGTTATTTTCAGTGATAGTTAATCATATGTTTAAAGAAATAGAGGGTGGAATGGGATTCTCATTATTTGCAGATGATGGAGCAATGTGGAAAAGAGGAAGAAATTTAGAATTTATTGTAAAGAAACTTCAGGAAGCAATTTCAGTTGTAGAAAAATGGTCATATAAATGGGGTTTTAAATTTTCAGTAGAGAAAACTAAAATAATGTTTTTTACAAGGAAAAGAGTTGATGAAAAAATTAACTTAAAATTTTATGGTCAGGATTTGGAAAGAGTTAAACAATTTAAATTTCTCGGGATGTGGTTTGATGATAGAATGACATGGGGGGCGTGCACATTAAGAAAATAATCGATAAATGTAGGAAGGTAATAAATATAATGAGGTGTTTAGCTGGAACAGAGCGGGGAGCTGATAGAAAATCATTAAAAGCCATTTATACTGGGTTAGGCTTAGTGGTTATACTGGGTTAATCAGGTCCGTACTTGACTATGGATGCATAGTTTATAACTCAAATACAAGCCTCCATAAGTTAAATAGCTTCAACATCAGGCTTTAAGAATATCTACTGCAGCTTTACAGGTTGAATTGGGAGAAATGCCTCTTAAAGTTAAATCAATTATCTTTAAGCTACTGGTCAGATTTACAGGCACAAAGGAAGGATCATCCAACATTAGAGCTGCTTAAACCTGGATGGGAAAAGAAACAATTAAAGAGCTTTGGATAAATAATAAACACTAAAGTTAATGAAATTAATTTAAATCAGTTAGATAGACAGTTCCATTAACAGCAATACCACCCTGGATACTTCCTGATGCTAAAGTTGATCTTTCATTATTAGAAAAGAAGGAAAAAGATAAATATCATATTATGAATAAATATATAGTACAAGAACACTAAAACAAATATTATAATTATGTACAAATATATACAGATGCATCAAAAAATACAGCTAATAGGGAAGGGATTGCTTTTATTATACCACAGTTTGATATTAAGGTTGGGAAAAGGATTAGTGATGGAGTTTCAGTAGCGGTGAAATGCTAGCTTTGCTGTTAGCAGCTCAATGGGTGGAAGAGCTAAGACCATTAAAATCTATCATTTGCTCAGATTTTAGTTCATCATTAGTCAGTTTGCAAAATAATCAGTCAGACAGTCGACTAGATATATTAATGGAAATACGACAAACATTTTACAGAATAAATATGATGGGGATAGTAGTAAATGTTGTTTGGGTTCCGGCACATAAATGAAAAAAGGAAATGAAATGGCAGACAGGATGGCTAAGGAGAGTACCAATAAGGTAAGGGTAGATATTAATGTTAGTTTTGGTATAACAGAAATAAAGGCTATAATTAAACAAACAGCAAAAGAGAGGTGGCAAAAGTTATGGAATGAAGAAAGAAAGGAAGGTGGCTTTATAAAATACAAAAAGAGAATTGGACCAATGAGAAGATCAGAAAGGAGATGATTATTTCTCGACTTAGAATAGGACACACTGGATTGAATAGATCGTTATTTTTGATAGGGAAACATCAGACAGGGAAATGTGACTGTGGGGAAGATGAGACTGTGGAACATGTCATTTTAAATTGTAGTAAATATTGGATACAGAGAAACAGGTTAATAAGGAAACTTAGTGACATGAAAATGAAACTTTGTCGATTTATTGCAGAAGGAATCAGGAAGCAGAGGATATCGGGTTATATTTGAATTTTTGAAACAGATTAGGTTTTATAATAGGATATAGTTTTTTTTTTCTGCCATGTGGTTCACACTCCATACCAGTTGGTGGCGGTAATGCTCACCTAACGGTTTTTGCCAACCGCCAGGAAAACTGAAGAAGAAGAAGAAGAAGAAGCGGCTTCCGTCCATCCGGCTGAACCATCGGAAGCAGCAGAACCATCAGAGGTTCTGGTCTCAGCAGATCCCTGAACCCAGACAGCAGCAGCTCCTCTGAACCCACGATGGACCAAGAAAACATTTTCCTCTTCGTTCCCAATTTGATCGGTGAGTTTCCTTCCTGTTAGCTTAGCATTAGCCATCATGGCGGCGCCTCCAGGCTGACAGACATTCATAGAAATAATGAACTATTTTTGCAAAGTCGAGCTCGTTCATTTTCTGTATTTTAGATTCTATATTCTGTACATCTATTTTCTCTAACGTGAGATCAATAAAGTTCAATTATTCTTAATCTGCACCATCAACCGTCAGATTAACAACAAATCTGATCTTTAATAAAAGTCCCTGAAATGTGGCATTTAATGAATGGAGGAGAATCTGCTGATATATCGGTTAGATGCTGGAGGGCCCCATGCTCCTTCCTACATCTGCGCTGCTAGTCAGCTAACATCAACAACCTAGAGAAGATCAAAGAAATGCGGCTGTTATTAACCAGGCACCGCAAATGCGTCCTACGTCATGTTCACTTTCACTCTGTTCGAAAACCTAGGACGCATTAGAAGACCGGATTC